GTATCTAGTGGGGCAGTTTGAAGAGTGGAAATGGGACCACAATGTGTGTAATGTGATTAAACATTTGTTTGCCTCGGTTTGAGACGGTTAAAAACGAAAGTGCTATAACTTTGCACTTACCAAAGGCTTCTATAAATCCGATTGGTCCTTTGACGAGGTGTCAGTTTTTTGCCCCACTTTACCTTTTCCTGCTTCTGTCCGGAACTTTTCATTCCTCTTCTATGTATTTGCATAGTAAAGCCTGCTTTTTAAATTAGCTAATTTTGCACTTTATCGTCTATTCATAGAAACGAGTACGCTTTTAAACGCTTTAGCGAGATTGGCAAAATTTTATGAATCAATTATCCAATCGGCTTTTCCTTACGTTCAAATCTGATTGGTTGTTTCCCTCTCCACTAATCAGAACTCTATTAATGTTCTTTGAGTAAATTCCGTTTGTGTGCCTTTTCTTGCATTCTATCCTCTACTCTGCGCATTCTATCGAAACTGGAGTTTTTCAGAGTCGATATTTTTCTGGTAAAGCCAATTTGGTCCTTTTCGTTACATTTGTACGTCTTTTGCTACAAAATCTAGCCTCTCCCTCACTTTTTCTTACCCTCTCCCATTTCCGAGTCATGTCTCACAAAAAGGGAAAACTTTTTTCCAATTTTTTTTGTCGAACTGGAAAATGTCCAACCGCCAGTGTCAGCACGAATCCCGCCCCGTGAATGTAACCAATCACCTCGCTCCACTGCCTACCTACGTCATTCCTTGACTTAACTGCCTATTTACTGTCATCCCTCTGTCTTTACCGATATGCTTGATGTCTTTCCTTTGGCGAGTTACTCGTTTAGTCCTGTTAACCCAAATTTCTGTTTAGTTAAATGCCCCCCTTTTAAACAATGCACGTGGATCCGCCTGGAACAATTAAACTTCCCCACAAAAATTAGATTTGAGTAAATACACTGGCACATTTATACCTCCGTTGTAAAATTAATGACTAAAAGAAGAATAATTTCTGGTTTATTTTTGTTTTTCTTTGTTTTATCACCAGTACTACTTTCGAGGTCTGCTCATTACTGATCAGTAGCGAGTACCTTCTCTTCAGACATCCTTGGGATGAGTTCAAACTACGCCTCTGAATTTGTGAAGTCGCGAATCCTGCCCCACAATCGAAGTCAAGCTATCATCAACTTGGATGAGTTCGGCTCCGCTAATTACATCGGTTTAGCGCCACAGACACGTGAGGTGAACAAAAAGCCGGCAAAAGGGAGGAAAAAGCCGCGACTTTTGCCTCAATTTCGTGGACAAACTGCAAAACAGCTGAAGCGACTCTTGAGACGGGAGCAAAGCGCAGATTCGCGACGTGAAATGACCTGTCCCATTAATCTGCCGCGGAGGTTAAATGATTTGTGGAACAGCTATGCGAAATCGCTTGTCAATTGGACGGAATTTACTGATGGTGGCAAAGTTACAAATAGACTGGAGAATGTGCTTAGGATGGATTTGATTGGCGCACGAATGCGGGTTCTTCGGTCGATTTCTACGAAACAGGTAAGTAGACTTAACTGATTCGTGTCTGTGGCTCCACGACGTGTAGCCGGGTTGTCAGTGGCAGTTACAACACAGGTTTGGCGCTCGTTATAGTGTAATTCTGGAAAAAGCAGCTGCAAAGTTAAAAGTCCGGTGCGACTTGGATGCGCCGTACGCACCTACCAAGCTTGCTTGATCGTCATTTAAGAATGTTGTTTCTTTATTTAATTTTTATAAGTAGATTGCAACGGTCGCACTACTGATTAAGTTTCAGTAGCACTGCAAATCACTCCTTTTCCTGGGTGAACTTCATTTTAGGTTGATTTGGAGGGTGTTGTAACAATGGAGACTCGAAATATCTTCTACTTAGCCACAGAAGATGACAGCAACACTACTGCACAACTTCACATTGTGCCTAAAAGGGGCACGGTGTTGTTACTTCTAATGCCGGGGGCGGAGGTGGCGTTGAACGGGAGCTCCCTAGCTTACCGACCAATTGATAGGACACTGAGAAAGTGGAAATTAAACTCCAATGCCGGGACCAAGAAACGCAAGGGAGCGTTGCAAATGGATCTGTTTACTGATTTCCTATTTTCTGTGACGGATCCTGTGAATAATGTGATATATGGCTGAGTGGAAATATTTTTTTGCATATTGCTTTACGAGGGGGTGTGGAGGGTGGCATTTTGGGATTGTCTGGTGACAACAAACTGCATTTTCTAATATGTCACTGATTGTCCACCATTTGGCGAAGAATCGCTAAAAGAAAAGCTAATTTATTGGGGAGGAGATATCTGTTTCGATTGAGGTGTGTTTGTAGATGGATATGAGAGTAGGTTAAGTGCTTCTTTGGCACAAATGGGCGGGTGGACGAAGTTATTTCCATCGAGTAAGAATGTGGAGTCTCTCACATCTTTGTCTTATTTGATAGAACAGTGTATAAACTCGGGTTTGACCAAGCTTTGCTTGTCTGCATCCGGTGGAGGTGTTTTAATGGAGATGTTGCGCTACAAAGTGTACAGACAAACAGGGGAATCTTGCCCCGGTGAGGATATAACTGACTCGAAATTCACCCGCATCTTGTCGATGGCGCAATTCAGATACAAATAAGGACGGCCAAAAGACGATTAACTACGTGTCCGAGGCCAATGTTACTACTTAATTGGTTCTCCTGAGTGAGAGCGCATCCGAACAGTGTGTTTTGCTTGCTGCTGTATCCTTACAATCCATTCGCGTCCCTGCGTCCCCTATGACAAATGCGACGGCCTTACAAGCTTTACAGCAGTGTATACAAGGACATATTTAAGGTATCCACAATTCCATGCAATTTGGCCCTAGGATATTGTGTAGCCTCCCAGTTACCTCTTTAGTTAGTAATTCATGCTTTTCCTTACTGTTTTGGTCTGTTAGAACGTTGGCGAAGACTCAGTGAGACTACGCTACATCCCCACTTTCTTCAGATTCTTCTTTGCGCTAAATGTAAAAGACCTTGACCGAAAATACTCTTATACAGTCTCTGCATATACCAGTAATTTTTTATGATACTAATTTTTTTATTACTACTCCAGGAAGGGGAAATATTGGGTCTATATTAATTTGGCCAAAAGTCCTTTGTTCGACTCCAACGATAGTCAAATATGCAAAAAAATGCAAAAAAACAGACCAGCTAGATGTTTGTTAAACATCTTTCGCAAATTTTTTTCCTAATATTTCTAATCAAAATTAACAAATAGGTTGAAAGTGTGAACTAGCCTAGCAAAATATGTCATTGGCCTTTTTTAATAGCAAAAAATAAGTTGCATAAGACATTACGGGGTTTGGGTTTTTTAAAAAGCAGCATTCAACTCCTTAATAAAATTTACATTAAAAATTACAGAAAATGACCTTTATATGCCTTAGTAATTGGCTTCTCTTTAATTCGATGTTTATATAGCCTATTTAGCCTCATTTAATCCCAGCCTCCAGTGCTCATGATCCGTAAATTCAACAATTAAGCCTACTCAACTTCTTGATTAAACAATGGCACAAATAGGCTTTAATATTCCTCTGGTAACCGATCTGGGTGATGGATGGCAGACTCACAGATCCCCACCACCTCGTCCGCCACCACGCCATGAACCGGCCATGCGCGCTCACCAGAAGCCTCAGGCCGCATCAATTAGGCGTCAGATTCGGCAAAAGGAGATCGCATCTGTCATTCTTCATCGTAGATTTGTCGCGTCGGAGTCGTTGGAACACAGCAAAAAGTGGTTTCAGCGCGAAGTCGAGGCACAGCTGCAGCGCGGCGGTCTCTTCGAAGATCCCTTCATGCCTCCTGTTGATTCCACAATTTGGCCAGATCGTAGCAACTCTTCGGCAAAATATCGCTGGTGCAGACCAAATGTAAGTCTTCTACATTTAAAGTTTCTGCCCTCTTTGAATTGTTGTTATTTTGCTAGCGTTTGAACGCCTTTCCAATTAAATTTTTTTACTCCTCTTTCAGTTGTTAATTACACAATCTTCAAAACTTCCTCAATAGTTTTGTCGTTTGGAAGGTTATGTTTTGTCCAAATAACCATGCATAAATATCTTCCTTACTTCCACATCCTACTAATTTGCTTGCCAGTGTATTTGTTTCTGTGGAGCTTACTTTTTTAGGAATATAAAAATTTTCTTTACTGATAAGCCTTTTTGTTATTTGTGAAACTTTTGCTTAGTGTTTTGCATTAGGTACCTTTTTAAAGTTGCATGAACCAACGTCCTAAATTCTACCTCCCCTACTCTTGGTGGCTATAATCACTCTGCGTAGCTCTGTGAATAAATTAATTTGCTAGAATTCCCACGTGCCTCTTACTTGTGTGAATCCTTTTCTTTATTCTATGCTTTAAAAGTGTCTTTTAAGATATTTTTGCTTTTTTTCTAGGAATTAGTAGCCCATCCTCAATTCGTCGCCGATGGTCTCAGCCGTTTCGACATCAAGCAGGGGGAATTGGGTAGAGTATTTGTTTTTATGGCACCTTTAAGCCACATTAAGCGTTGCCTTTTGCCGCATAAATTTCCGTTTTTCTTTCAGGCGATTGTTGGCTTATCGCGGCTTTAGCCTGCCTTTCTATGCACCATAAGCTTCTTAACGAAGTGAGTCCTTTCTGATGAAATGTTTTCACCTTTTTCTCAGTTCGTTATTTTTTTTAACAAAGCACGTGACGGGGCGTACAAAGTTTAACTTTATGTGCAGACACATTAGCGACTTAAGCGTATATGTATATGAAAGCAAAAGCGCTGCACTTCGGCGAATTGCCCAGATTGCTACTTTGTGATGTCGTAAACAGCACACTCTTTAGCTAAAAGGCGTCTACTTCTATTCTGACATGGATAAGTCATATGAACTGTACCATGCGTGGAGGTCTGATTATGCTTTCAACAGAGCTGTCAATGAATCAGCTTTTGGGTTCTTGGAATAACGAAGAATAGTAGAACACTTGAAGCTAGAGGAGTAATTGTGTGTGGGGTTAGATTGATGAATGGATGAATGGTTGGAAGGGCCATGCCTTTGAAATGAATAGGTGGGATGGCTGTATGCATCGACTGGTATAAAGATAGTCGCATGGATGCATCGGTTTGGTTCATAACAGAACCCCAATTTGATGAGTACAGTACATTGTTAATAATACTATCCATGATTTCGTTATGTATGCTTATTAAAGTTTAAAAGGAGTAAGTAAAAGTGTTTTTAGAAATATTTTATTTACTTGAAATATAGCCGCTTTACTCTGTCCTAAAACATTCAGTGATAAGGAATTGTGCCACAACTTGGCTATGCGATAACAAATTGTTGTTGCCTAGTGAAGGTACGATCACCAAATTCGAAACTACAAAAGATCTCCTTAAACATACTACTCAGTTATTCATTAGGGAAGGATTTTCCTGCAACCTGGGCCTCTGGCCTCCTGACTCCATTGCTCCTTCCACTCCAAAAGTTCACTTTTACTTGGCTAAAAGGATGTCAATCATGGTGAATAATGGAAAACACGTAACTCAGAGGAATGGCATTCCACAGCTGCCTCAGAATCACCAGGACGCTAGCGGATCTCCTGTGTCTGGTTGATCAAAGAAAAAATAGCCAAAACGTGGTTGGTCTCTTGACCGGTGGGGTGGGGAGTCGGTAGACAGGCAGTCTACCTGTCAGATTGACGGAAATGCCGGGGCGGGGGCGGAGGGGGGCGCGTGATAACTAAACTGACTAACTTACTCTAGCCAAAAGAAAGTTGAGTGGTTATTTCCTTTTCTATCCTATCAGTGGATTGTGATGCTGGAGATGTGTATTTTGAAGACTCCACTGAGGACGGTTTTTTTTCAATGCCTCCACCCAGTCAGTGACAGCTTTGGCGCTAGTAATGACTCAAGTCAAGGTCTTTGTCTGGAAAACCGCTGCCTTGTGTTGTTGTGTCGCGATATGTAGGTGGCAAAATGCAATGCCGTGCGCCATGTGTGAGGAAGAGGCTTTCACAATCTCCTAATCAAATACAGATAGATGTGTTATATTTAAAATTGAATACTCTGTAGGTGTTGAATTCACTTCTGAAGTCATTTGTGGACACGCGTTAGTCCAGTTGGAGGTGCCATCGGATTCGACAGAGTTGTTGTGGATATTTTACCGCAGGCTAAAATAATCCTCAGTATGGAACATTTAAAAACCTGATGCTCCGGTTACCAGTGCCCGAGCATGTTCCAACATTTTCTCCATCAACGTCACAAATGTGTGACCTTAATATTTTTATCTGTTTATCATAGCTGTTTTCACCGGGTCGTGGGTTGCAAACAGGTGTATGCTGTTCCTGTGCCGAGGGCGCTTGCAATTGATCAGCGAGTTTGTCAATTTTACAGGAAGGTGACGTTGAAATGATGGAATCCTTAGTCTAAGCACAGGCGTTTCACTTGGAAGCCGGTGGTTACACCTGACCTCCTGAAAGCATTTACAACTACAATGCCCGCCTTCCATTCAGTCCGCTTAAAACAAACGCGCTGTCAACTTTTCAGGTAGTTCCATGTGGTCAATCCTTTGTGCCAACGAGCGATGGGGGCCCTCTGAACGCCAAAGGGGGCTTCGCCTATGTCGGCATGTTCTGGTTCCGCTTCTGGTACTTCGGCTGCTGGGTCGACGTGGTTGTGGACGACCGATTGCCCACCGATGGGAACCGTCTCTGCTTCATGCATTCTAGCGACCGACAAGAGTTTTGGTCCGCCTTATTGGAAAAGGCCTACGCTAAGTGAGTGAAAGAACTCCTTGAACGTGGTCTTTGTTGATCCTCTTAGTAGATGTATTTGATTCCCTGAAAGTGATTGCAGGCGTGCTGTGTATAACCTTTCATCCTCCATCTCAGACTTGTCGGCAGCTACGATGCTCTTCGTGGTGGCACCACTTCTGAGGGTATGGAAGATTTTACTGGTGGTATGTGCGAGATGATCGATTTGGGCGACAAGGCGCCAGAAAATCTTTTCAGCATTATGTCCCGAGCTCACTCTCGTTGCTCCCTCCTCGCGTGTTCAATTGATGCGAGTCCTGAACAAATGGAAGCCGAAGGACCCTATGGACTCATCATGGGACATGCCTATTCTGTCACAGACGTCCGAACGGTACGTTTTTGAGGCCTCTGTCCTACTGATAAAGTAGTCAGTGGCATTGGCGGTTGCAAGGAGGGATTTGTATCATCATGTCTCCACTCCCTTGCCTACTGATATTAAAATGAACCGTCCTTGCACGCTTGTTACGCAACTGCAGATCGTGCGATAATTCCTCCGATCCCCTGCCCTCTCATATCCTAGTGGGTAATATTGGTGGCGACAAGGAACACCTACTCTACTCCTCGAAGATATTTCAGGGATGCAGAGGTCCTGAAGGACTGCAAGAACTTAGAGCAATTATTTTCAGCCTGATTTAAACACCATTCTTAGTGCTCTCCATGATGTTGTCCTAATCTCCCCTATTTCTCTAAGTGATTGTCATCAGACGATCACGTGTGAGGTAAAATAAACAGTTGATAAATGACAGGGCGAGAGAAACGAGGTCAGATAGAGAGCTAGGCTGTCCAGTCTTGGTGGTATTTACAACAAGTTCGTGTGACGTTGGAAAAGGACGACATCCTGTAGTAGTGTACTTGAAGAATCTTTTTTAGTTTTTTGTTACAAAAGGCTGATTAAACAAATGCAGCTACCTTGGGACATGCACTCATCTCTCGAGGTTGGTTCACCGACGTCGTGGAGGGATGAAGTAGGAGGGACTGCGATTGAATCTGCTACTATCACTAACATTATCACTAATTGCTGTACGCTCAGTTTACTTAAGACTCTTCCTTTTATTTTTCCCCTCTTCTGCCTCTGTCATAGTGAGTAGCATCGTGAGGCCATACAAGTGCGAATGCCGAATTTCTTTGAGCTCTACTACCATTGATAGGCAAAAAATGTCTCCAATGCGCTTTTTGAAGGCGTATTTTCGTTTATGCAGATTAGGTGTTGCCTTGGCGACTGCACTTTAAAGTATTTTTTTCGTCGAAGATTTAAAAGGAGACATTTGATTACAACTAACAATGCTGCGAATTGGAAGTTTATGGAGAAATTGGTTGTATAATGTGCAAACGTGGGAAACCAATTAAGGATTTCCATCACGAATAAGGCGGTTAATGCCAGAAAAGGTTGAAAGTCCATACAAATTGTCTTACCAACTCATTTTTGACCATTTCAAAGATTCGATATCTATCCGATAATCTTAGACAAAAAAGAAACCCTCGTTTGATTAGAAGATGGTGGAAGCCTCTTCTTCACATTACTGCAAGGCATTGGACTTTGTCAAACACAGGTTGTGACACAACAACAGAAGGCAGTGGCTTTCCAGATGCCCCAAAACTGTCATCGACTAAACGCAGAAAGCAGGGTCGCATTTCACTGACAAGATAGAAAAGAGGATAATTAGCTTTCTTTTGGCTTGTAGTTTAAAGTCAGAGTAAGTTTGCACGTTCATATGTCTCGCACCCACTGCCATTTGTGTCACTCTGACAGGCAATCTACCTGTCCACCTATCTACCAACTCATCACTCTATCGGTCGAGAAGGCAATCACATTTTGGCTATTTTTTCTCCAATCAGACTAATGCAGTAGAGATTCGCTGGCTTCCTGATGGTTCTATGGTAGATTTGGAATGCTATTCCATGTCGAATGCTGCATGACTTCTGGTTGTGTGTTTTTCCTTAAATAAATTAACCATGCAAAGACCACTTCCCCTCTCCCTCCTTCAAGACAGACTTGTTTCCATGATTTAGTTTGATTGTCATCCTCTCTGCTAAGTAAAAGTAGACGTTTAGAGTGGAAGAGGAAATAAAACTGGGAGACAATGTCGTAAGGAGCCATGATTACAATGAATTGGCTCTGGATGTCAACTTGCGCACCTTTTTCACCCTCATTTTCCAATTCGGTTTATCGTGCTTTCGTTCGGTAACTACCGTAGATGGTAATTTGGATGATAGCCAAGTAATTCGTGTGGAAACTTGCATATCCATCGTCCAAGTGTTGCCTCCATTTCGCGAAGAGTAGCTGGAACAGCTTTAAGGTTTCTTTTTTTTCCGACGGCCTACTCAATCAAATCTTGTAGATGCAGCACAGTCAAATTGGTGGAGGCTATTGGGTGTCACGAAAGTCTTAAATCTCCCTTCTTCAATTTCACTTTAAAAGGTTTTAACCCATTTTTTATAGTGTGAATGTAATTTTGTCCCTTGAAGGTGAATTTCTACTAGTCTAAACCTCTAATTTAATCATTAGATTTGCATTTTGGTTGTAAAAAATATCGTTTTCAAAAGTTTATTTGCACAATCACGCTCACTTACATCGCCTTATTTTATCTTTTGTTCTTCATTCTACACTGTCGAACTAATCGGACTGGTTATCGCACTGTCGCATTGTTTTCGAATCGCCTGTTTGCACGCATTTTATCCCTGCTTGCAAGCCCTTTGATTTGTTGTCATTGTGATATGTATGTCTACTGATATCATTTCAGTAGCAGTAATCATGTGGGCATTATCATGCATTGCTTTAGTCGTCAAATGCACATAATCCAGTTGCGCGATTTTTTTCCGCCTATTATTCTTGCTGTAGGTGCGCGAAACCAGTGGAAATCAATTGCAAATGATTCGATTGAGAAACCCTTGGGGAAATGAACGGGAATGGGTGGGACCATGGAGTGATAAATCAAAAGAGTGGTCACGTATCTCACCAGAGGAGCGAATGAAAATTGGCCTGACTTTTGATAATGATGGTGAATTTTGGTGAGTGCATGGCAGTGTTTCGTTTTTTCTCCTCGTAAAGTCCAAGAATACCATGCTTATTTTAAAAAGCCTTTCTCTTTTAAGAGCGTTCGCCACCAATATTACAATGTGTTCTTAGCGGTAGTTTTATTGTCTTCAATTGAATGTCAGAAACATATTGGCTCAGCTTAGAACAGTAAAGTAGAGGTAGGGAGTTTTTGCTCCGAAAGTAACTGCCATTTTCAAGTTTTTGGAGTAATAATTAGCCTCGTTATCAGAACAATGGAGCATTTGGGTTGCAGTGGTCTAATTTTTTTCCGAGGTCCTGTTAGCGAATATGCTAGGCGCTTTGGTCCGGCCTCAATTCTTTCTTATGTTTAGAGTTATAAATATCACTAAAGGATGCATGTTTCTTGTGCAGGATGACTTTCGGAGACTTTAAGCACTACTTCAGTCGATTAGAAATGTGCCACTTGAGTCCCGACTTTGACCAGATGGATAACACTACAAAGGGTGCTCCGCCGAAGCGGAAGTGGGAAATGACGAGGCACGAGGGCGAGTGGCTAAGGAATTCTACAGCTGGTGGCTGTCTGAATAACCGAAGTGTGTTTTTAAGACCAGCCTTACTTAAATTTATTTGAATAGCAGATTTCATCCACCATCTCAGCTGCTTGACGTGTTTCAAAATGCAGATTTTGCTATCCTTGCCTTTTAGATACCTTCCATATGAATCCGCAGATCCGTGTATCCGTTGTGGATGCTGACGAAGCAGATGACGACCCGACAGGTACCATCGTAGTCGGCTTGATGCAGAAAGGGATGCGTGAAAAACGTCAATCCCCATTCTCTATCGGTTATGTAATTTATCCTGTAAGCGGGGGAATCGTGAAGTAGTTGACGATGTTTTAGAAGCTAAGTACGCTTATTTGAACCCATATTCTCCCTACTTCCTTTCATCCTACAGCTTCCACCTGGTGCACCACCAAACGCTTTGCTAACACGCGAATTCTTCCGTCATACTCAAATGGCTGCGCGCTCTATGTTCGTTAACACTCGAGAGGTCTGTGGACGCCATAAACTCATTCCCGGTGATTATGTCATCGTACCTTCCACTTTTGTGCCGAATGAGGAAGCAAAATTCCTGCTTCGAATATTCTCCGAGCGACCTTATGCAGCTGGGTATGTGGGCCACAAAAATTCGGCAAATTTTGCTTTTTTTACATTTTTAAGCATATGTAAGTAATAACAGTTACTGTTAGTCATCGGAAGCGGAAGGGGGTCCGCTTGGAGTGAAGAAGACATGAAAAAATGCAGCAATTTGCGAAAAATTTGCCTATTTTTACTGTTTAACTGATCAGCTGATTCATTAGGCTCGAGTGCGGGAAAATCAATGTTTAATCAGCTGATTTGTATTGATCGCAATTCAGGAGTCACACGCCGAGGAAAAATCAATATTTATTGGAAGGGCTCGTCAGCTGATCTAATCAGCCTGAACGGTGTTTAAATAGGTCCAAAAAATTGATATCGATTGGAGCTGTTTGGGGAGTAAATAGCGCGTATTACCTTTCTGGACTCAGTAGGAAACAGGATGTCAGGCACTGGAAAAATGGATGGAATTTAGCTACAGAAATTATTTAACTTGAGAATAGGATAGAGGGACCACCATTGGACTTTCTCGACGACATCGCTTTATCTAATACCATTTTTACTAACGAAACCTCAAATGTGTGAAGCAGTCTAATATTTGGCATGCTGGGTTACTAACTTCAAAGTGGCTGTAAAAGCAGTTGAACTTTGGGAAAAACGTCATTGCTTTTTTCTATTTTTTTAGCGAATTAGACGATCAGATTATGTGTGGTGTTGATCCTATAACGGTTCGTTTACTGTGTTATTAATTCATGGCAGATTTTTTTATTCGTTTGCCCATTATAAGTAAACTTGATCCATGAAATAATTTTTGCATATTGTCGCCCACCATTCCACCTGCAACAGAGCAAAATACTGTTTTCAAATGGGTAGAATTTCAGATAATCACTGAGTGAAGTTCGCGAATTCTTGCTTGATCATTGGTTAATGTTAGCCTTATTGATTTGCTTATTGGTCGATACTTCAGCCAACTAAAACGCGAATTTCTGCTATCCTTTGCTTTTAATTGGTTAGTTATTTTATAACCACTTCTTGAGTGTGAAATTAATCGGAAATACATGTTTTACTTTGGTTAAATGTAAATAAGTCTTTGAAAATCGGAAGCTGAATCAAATGAATCATTGAAGCTAGGTCGGAATATTGCCTTTTCTGTGTCTGTTATATATAGCCATTGCCAGCCCTGCCGAAGGATGAGGAAATGATTAAAAAGTTGAAATCCGCTTTCGATGCCATTGCCGGCGATACTAATGATATTGAAGCCGAAGATTTGCGCAACATTTTGAACAGAGTCTTCGAGAACAAGGGTTAGTCCCTCCTCCAAAATTGATCAATATCTGTTTTTCTGTTTATTTTGACCTTGTGACATTTTTAAAGCCTAATCAGTAAAATGTCCACTTCTCTGAACTACAAATTGAACAGTCTTCATGACTCTCTTTCCACTCTTTTTTCATTCCAGTTGGTGAATGCTTCGAAGGATTCAGCTTGGAGACAGCGAGGAGTATGGTCGCTCTTATGGATGTATCCTTTTGGTTGTTGTGGGAAGGAAAGCACGGTTTTATATGGTTCATGTCTGCACTGGCACTCGAATTGAATACCAACTTTAGAGTTTACTTAAGACGGACGATGCGATCCATCTATTTATCGACATTGTCTTCCGCAAAGCGACATCAACATTGAAGGCTGCTCTTTTTAGACTGGTGACACATGTGCTATTTCCTAAAAACTGCAAATGTTTGAGAATGATTGTGTTGCGCCGTGCTCCATTGACCGTTTGTCACGCTTGAAGGTACGTGACTTGTGCTGCACTATCACTGGACGACTGTTTACCCCTCTAATCGGCTGTTGTGATGTGGTGGGGTTAGGCATCAATTACCACGACCGGAATCCGAGCGAATCGGATTGGATCGTCATCACTGACACCGTGGAATAGAGCGTCCTGTTGGTGAGACTACAATCATTGTACTGTGATGTGCTTGAAGTCTTCAATGGACGAGTGGTGATGTGTGGGCGTTCGGATGTGACGCCGTAGTTTTCGTTCAGAAGAAACCTCGTTTGTCACCACATAGTGCAGTAGGTAGGCGCTGACATTGGCACTGTAGCCGTTGCCTGGTACAAAAGTGATGAACGGTGTCTCGGCCGCTTTGGACTTGCCTGCGGAGGATGTGTACGGACGTTCGTGCTGCAGTGTCGCCACGTCGGCATGTCTTGTGCGGATGAAATGGAATTTCACCGCCCGATTTGAATGCTTATCACGTCTCTCAGCGGTGATTCCTCTACCATCTATCCAAAGTCGCGTCAGCCTCCATTTCCACCGAGGCAGACTGCATTCGCCTTTATCTGTTTCAATACTTTGACCGCCGTCCTTAAGCATCCACACCTCCTTTTGGAATCCTTTAAACAGTGTCACCACATCTCTGATTGTGTCCTTCAATACGAAAAATTTCAACATACTACGCAGTACCTACCTTAATTCACTGTCGTCTAGGTCGATACCAGTGGAACTCTTGGATTTGAAGAGTTCAAAACACTGTGGTACGAACTCCGTCTGTGGCTGGTGAGTTAGACTCCTACACGTAATTATGGCTCATAGTTGAGTTCAAATTCAGCAGTATCTAGTACCTGCACCGAAAGCATGGAATGGGTTGATAAACCTCCTTCATTTGTATTCAGACCATATTCAAGGAGGCGGATGCAGCAAAAGCGGGGAAACTATGCACTTACGATCTCCGAAACGTACTGAATGACATTGGCATCAGCATTAGCAACGAGATCTTCAAGGCCATTGTCTGTCGATATGCGCACGATGGGGTGATTGTCTTCGACGACTTTGTCCTCCTCCTCGTCCGGCTTATCACAGTGTTTGGAAAGTTCAAGGAGAACCTGGAGGATCGAAAATCGCTCAAGGCCTCCTTCTTTGTCGACGAGGTGAGTTCGGTCACTTCCCTTTTTTTTCAACACAGCATTTATTTGTGTCCATTTTTGGACCCCTCCATCTAACTATTCGTCCACTCTGGCGTGTTCATCCACCCGCAGACCTACCTTAATTAACTTCAAATTTTCTTTGATTTTGGTGATAAACTACTGGCCAGCCTAATAAGACTTGGAGACTGCGTGACGCGGTGATCGACTACATCAATCTTACTGCCCTGTCTCGAGTCTCCACTGCAATGAACATCGAGAGAAGAAGGGTTCGAAGTTTATAGAATTCCCTGTTAAGCTAACTACAATATCAGAAGCCTAGGAACTTGAGGAATTAATCACATTTGGAAGGATTGTTTGCTTCGCATTTCTTCTCCATGCTTATCAGCTAAATCACTTTCATACTTGTTTTAGTTTCTGCGCTGTGTCCTCTATACTTGAGTCCCCGGACTTCCAAAACCTGTAACGCTTTCTCCACCCTCCCTTTTACTTAATCTTTTTGCCTGAACTGCCTCTATTTACTTCAGAAACAATATTATACCGCTTTTTTCCATATTTTGAATGAATGAACTACTTTTTGTGCGACTTAAAAGGGTTGAGAGGGTACAGGGTGGACTGCTGGACTTAGGTAGTACTTATTGGTCAAAAAGCAAGGAAACCTTTACTTCATCCAAATGGAATCCTTAACCAAAAAAGAACAAGATAAACAATAAAGACCTAATTTATTTCACCCCATCTTTTCAGTCATTGCCTAGGACATGGAGATACAACAATTGGAAACCAAGCTTCGCAACGCGGAGTCAAGAAAAAGTGTCACACACGAACAAATGCATTTCTTAAGCTAATGAGAATATGTTATGCTCTAAATTTCACTGATAGCTTAAACATTGCATTGATCTTGCAGCACCTATCGATGAAAAAGGGGGTTTCACTTTACTTCTAGTCAGCCTCCTCGTCCCGTGGGGCGGGTGCTACTGATTTATGAGAACCCAACTTAAGTAGCAATTAGCAGCACCGTAGCAACATGAAAGTTCTACTCGCATCATAGAAGCCATATACACGCACTAAAGTGGCAATACAATCATGTAGGGAGATGGGGGAAGGAAGGCAAAAAAAAAGGATTGATGTCTCCTCAATCAATCGCGCAGTTGTGAGTCAATTGGGGGGGGGGAGGGGGGGGAACCCACTTGATCGCCTGGTGGGCTCAGATGCATTTTTTGAAGAGTCTTCACTGTTCATCCAATTGTCATGACATGAATAAGACGAGTTAGGCCTTGTACCAACTCCGGGGTCAACAAGGAGGCACTAATGGCAATTCGTACCTCTATCTCGAAGGTTTTCACAGCGCCCGATAATTCGTCTATCGCCTCGCCCAAATTGAGGGTTTGCAGAAGGCTGTAGCGCTCAGCAAAGGAGATTACCATCTGAAAATGGGGGCGTTGCTTGTTAAGTTTGTGGGTAGGTGTAGTCAGGGGATGATGAAGGTCAAGGAGTGCACTGCAAAAGTTGGCAATTTGACTTAATCTGGGGGGAGGTTGGAAAGAGGGGGCGCTATTCATTACCTTCTTCGCCAGGTGGGGTCAAGCGGTGACCAAAATGAGTAGGGAGTGGTTGATGGTCGGGACATTCGCCATCCAATTCCATCAAAATCCCCAGAGTTAGCAACTTAGGGTTGTTTCAACAGAGAACAGAAATGAGCAGAAAATACTACTTATTAGTTTTGTAAGTAGGTGCAGCATTGCCCACTTGAAGCCTGGACAACAGATAATGCAGCACAAGCTACGCACCCTAGCACAGGACGCAGCACTCAACACAATCGGGCATAAGCATATCGATTTCGAGGAACTAGCATATGTAGTGCGTCACCAGTCCCAGAAGAGGCCAGCCAAACACACCCCTTTGGTGACCTCTAAAGACAGTTTAATGCAAATGCCCCGACTGTTTTTCTAAAGAAAAATTCCCTCCACTCACCGGTTGTTTGGGCATTCTCGCCAAACCACCTCCAGTGATTCCACCTGCGTTCCCTTTCACCACTACAGGAGCTGCTACTTTTGCGTCCTTGGCATACTGCCAACTATTCTTCAAATTCTCACTCAAAGCCTCATTTTCCTCCAACTCTTCAACAATCCTATTCAAATTCCGTAGACCTTCCTTCAAGTCCTGCCCAAGTCCTCGTAATGACAGAATACCGGCCTGAAGTAGTAATCGCCCCGCGATGTAGGGACAGACCACCTGATACTGCAACGCATCGGCTGCCACCGGCTTGGTGAAATAGTGCCTCAAATCCGTGCTCAAGAATTGAAGACTACAATTGAGGATGCTACTAGTCTGTTGAATGCTTGGACCACATAGGAGTTGAAGAAGGAGAGATAAGCCGGCGTACGCCCGAACCTTAAAGTAGGGATCTGTGTTAAAGGCTTTGCAAAGCACGTCCACCAATGCGTTCCCATTTGAAATCCTTCGAAGCAGCCGACTTGAGGCTAGGGCTGCATTCCAGCGAATTTTTTCCGCACCGCTGATATTGGTGGTGTGAAGACAGGCGTAGAAGACGTTTAAAATAAGAGAGCAATGAGAGGCCAGGAAATCTGAAGACTTGGAAGCGAGTTCTACGAGATTAGCAAGAGTTTGTACCGCATGTTCACAGCGATATCCATCCTGCCCAGTCCAGGTTGTATTTTGAGCGTCTGGAAAAAGGCGAGCGGAGAGTCCACTTCAATGTGACGCAATAGGAAGTGAAAGGAGGTGGACTTACATAACAACCTGGAGAATGGAGGGAAGGCTCCAGTCTTCTGGAATGTCTTGAAGAGTCAGGGCTTTCAAAGTGCAGATCTCGAGACAGTAGGCTACTTCGCAAGCAACCCTGGCCGTCGCAGAAGGATACATTTGGAGGATGATCTTCATGGCGTAGGAAAGGAGAGTGGGTGGAATGAAGGGACTACTGAAGGTCGTTAAATGCAAAATATCCAATTAGCCTAGAGGTATTGACTGACCCCGGTTACAAATGAAACAGAATTTTAAAGGTCATGTTGGTTTCATCCTTTTATCCACACCCACAGCCTCATAAATAAATTGATGAAGAGGTGAGTGACTGAAGAGACAGACGGATTAATAGTTTGGTGGATGACTTATTGAATAGATGGACTAGTGGTTGGATAGGAGGCGCCTACTCAGATGATTCACAGTAAACCCCATTCACTCACTCTAGAATGGCTATGGTGCAGAGCTTGCGTAGTGCCTTTAATCTCGTCTCCACACTAGAACAGCTGCAGAAGGAGGCGAAAAGACTGACAGCGCGAGCACAAAAGCTAAAGCAGGTCACTAAACACGACGATGGAAGCGGACGGGAATTTGGAAGGAGAGCAAGGAGTTCAAAGAGCAACCCAAGCACTTGACACAACCACCAACGCTCAGAGTCATCAATAGAAGCCTAAAAAATAAAAAAAATCCAAAAATACCCCAGAAGATGTAAAATCCAAGACTAAGTTTCCGGAAATATACCCAAAAAACAACATTGAAAGTTAGCTACTTGGACCGTTGCAAAAAGCAAGTTATTGCTGTCAATACAACACAGCTCATCAATGTAAAAAAAAACCTGGGTATCTTAAGTAGAAATGTGTAAAAAACGACACAAAAAAATATAGTGTGCTTAATCAAAACTTGAATAAAGTTAACACCGGTTTCCTGGATTAAAATTTGTTAGAACAATTTCATAACACAAGTCGACCATAAAAAGTAACAACTAAGCCACCCTTTTTTGGCAATAAGAAAGACCTGGAACTGTGTTTAAATGCACTAACTAAATGCGTCTACACACAATCGCAGCCTCGCACAACACATGAATAACATCAAGAAACACGAACACCAAAATATCTAGTTCTGCTTTTATTCATGAAAGTACACGACCTCCTAGCAAAAAAGAAGCAGAGTAGTACAGTATGAATGCGAAAACCGAATTTCCCTTCTTCTACTCACCCTGTCCCACTAAAGACGAAATTTTCACCGACTATGTTGAAAGAGAGCACAACAACAACGCCAACAGCAGAATGTTTTGTCCAAATCCCGCCCCTTGGATTCCACCACCAGCCAAAACTACTAGTAAATCAGAGCATTTGCCAAAAAAACTTTCCTTTTACTTCACTTATAGAAGCACCTCAACCATCGAAAGTCGTCAAAACTTTTGAAATCAGCCGAAATCGACGGAGCAAGAGTTGGGATGAACCGGAAAAAGAAGAACGAAATGAAGAAATAAAGGAAAAGGGAACTATAAAGGTAAAAAACAACTCCGGCAATAGCAGCAACTGGTCGCAGATGCGACGATGGGTGAGCGACATCGACCGGTCCATTGAAAACCTATCAAACAGCGTTCGTGGCCTCCTAAAGGTGAGATTTGTGAAAAAAATTCTGACTTTAACACATTTCTTTGTGGTGCGGTAGAGTCTTGTGATACGGTCAGCCATGTTAATGTTTGCACAGAGTTTTTTTGGAGTAGGCATGACCTCGTTCCTTCATTCATTCGGCTGTTCCCTGACTTAGTCAGTCAGTCCGTCCCACTCCAACCACCAATTTATCCACAATATTTAAATTCCAATGTAATCTAGAACGAAAATCTGGAATTATGCATGGAAATAGTCCCCCATTTTTACCTCTGTAGTTTCACTAGTTGCTTCCCCATGTAATTTCCATCTGTAATAATTTTGCCCAAATTTAAGGAAGGAAACGCGGAGGACAAAGAACAAATCCTCTTCCACCACACACCAGTTAAGGTGAGTAAGTTTTCTAGTTGAGTAATCTTCCTTAAACTGCAAAGGGAATCACGGTGCGGTACATACATTACTAGGACAGAACTACCTATGAGGGGGAACCAGCCAGAGTGCAACATCTTCCAGTAAAGGTAGTCACAGCTCTTCCGCGTTATTTTTTGTACAATTTTCATTAATACCTAATTGTATATAATTTCCCTACAACAGGAGAACAGTAGCCATGGCATCGAAAGCACCGCGATCGATCGCCTAACAGGGGAACTTAAAAGAGCACGTGGGTTTGATTTAACTGTTGATCAAAAAAGTACTAAAAACATTTGACTAGTCATGCCAGTTCAATCCTGGTGGGCACTTTTGTCGCACATACTACTGATTTCGCACTTTTAAGTAGGTAAAATTGAAGTTAGGAAAAACCGTGACAAATTCCAATCATAAGCGGGCTAGAGAATGCTACTGATATCGCATTTAAGTAGTAGGAGTTAAATCCCGATGTTAACATACTAGGTCCCGCCCGCATTTCCTCCAAAACACCAGTACATACTGGTCGCGGGTTAAATGAGAGGCCTTGATCACAAAAAGCAACTAAATTTCATTCTAGGTGACGAGCTACACCAGGCAGAGACAAGACAGGCCTCCCTAGAGGCGCTAAAATCGCATCTCCAACTGCAGCTACGTCAACGGTCGGCCCAGTGTGAACGAATGACGGCACAAATGCGAAACTCAGCTTCAAAAACTCGACAAACGGTGGTTCAGTTGACACAAGAGTTGGCAGCAGCAGATGCGAGGATTCACGAGTTGATGCGACAACGTGAGCTGCTAAAACACGCCGCAAAGGGTCAGAAACGGAGAGCTATGAAGGCGGAGGCAGAAATTGCCAGGATGAAGAGGCAGGAGGTGGGTTACAATGCGACTTCAAAATAAGTTCGATTTAGTTGGCAGAGATTGAAGTAGCATGAGGAATAATAGGACCATCCAGGTGTAGCCGGAAGGTCCCTAGGTGTTGAGTTTCCAGGGAAGACTGAACTTTCACGTTCCAATTGGAATGCTACTAGATAGTTTCAAGAACTCATCAATGTCAATCGTGATGATAGTATATTTTAACAGCTTTCTGGATGCGATTTGAATAAAAAATGCATGCTGTTTACAGAATGAATGAATCCATCCATCACGGATGGCTTTTAGCTATTCCAAATTAGCTGCCACGAGGCTATTGATAGGTAGCATGGAGGAAGGACGAGACTATCCAGTGTGATTGTAATGAGCCGGATATTCATTCACGTCTATTCAAGACATTAATTTTCATATACCCGAACTGAGAGGATTGATTAACCATCAGGTGTAGATAACCCAGGATAAATGGACCCACCCAGTGCAAATAAAATGTTACTGATTGACTTCAAAAGGCCCATAAAGTGAATGCTGCTGGAAAGTTTCGGCTTCTACAATCTTTGAACAGTTCAAACAAGCTCTTGGTGGCTCACGTAAATGGAAAAAAATTGTCATAGCTAGTAAAAATTGAGTTGATAAACCGGTCCAGAGCAAGCAGAATGACGTCAGGTGATTTTATGGTATTTACACGACCGTCTAGGCTCCTTGAGCACCCCCTAGTAGCTTTCAAATATCTTGAAGAAATGCCTAGACGCGAAGGTCATCAATTTGGCCAATGGAGATTAGGTTCTCAAGATACATGAACTCGTTCGATGTTAAAAAAATGCCACTAGGTGATTTTGACAATTTTACAAAATGACCAAGAATCTTTGAAGGCTTCAACATCCTTCAGGATGTTTAACAAAAGGCAACAACCGGAATGTTGTTGGATAGTTCCGAGAATTTACTCAAGTCCTTTCAAGGAATTCGGAAAATTCTACATCAGCTTCCAAAGAGCAGGCGGAATAGAAAAATCAGTCATCATCAGGCTGACGATAGGCGATTGAGAGTCTAAGATAATTGAAGGCATCTAGTGCAGTTAGAATGACGTACCAACCTTCCGAATCTGAGCTAGCTTCTAGAGAAGAAGGTCTTAGAAGTAGGCAATTCTAGATAGATGGATGGGTTGGAAAAATTTGAGTCATTGACGCTCAAGCATCACTTTACCTGCGAACTGAACCAATACAGCACAGTGTAAACGACAAACAAGCGCATCAACAGGTGAGATGATTTTCAAGGTAATGAACGCATATAAGGACTGGAGGGCTTATGTGAGAAGTTCCATTCCCTTTCAGCATTAGATGAGATGAGCTGGGGAATAACAATGAGGAGCCAAAAGCAGCTGCCCGATGAATGACATAAATATCCCGGAATTACCGATGCTTGATGCTGTTTCAAAGTAGAACTTTTTTGCAAAAAGAAATTAGATGCTTTAGTCAACACACTGAATAGGTTTTCTACATGCTTTATTCAAACTGTCCTTTTCCACTTTTTTGTTTCTAGGCAATGGAAACAAAGGCGATCCCGGGGAAGATACAACGAAGGCTATTGCTCAATTGGAGGAGGTAGGTGGGAGAATTTCAAGTAGTGGGCGTCAACCAAGTTAATTGTCATTTCCGGAGAGCTAATATATAATGAAGCGGAGGGCTCGGAAAACAATCACACCAGATTTTGATTTGCATTCCGCAAGAGATAGGTCAAAAAAATTCAGGTAAAATCTAAGGAGGAAAAACGGGAGTAACAGGGCACCCTTTCTTCATCGTAAGACAAAAAGCACAAAATAAGGTCAAACTGGAGACACGTAAGTGAAAAAATTTGTAATTAGAATATTTCTTCTATTCTTCAATTGTACCAGGACAACAAACGACTTCGTGATCTGACAAGTGGTTATGAGGACCGATTGGCGGTGACAGAAAAGGAGGTGGAAAACCTGCGTGAAAGACTGGCTCAAACTGAATCTCGAATCACCGAGTCTGTGAGTAAAGCGAAGGTACGACTGTTTGACTGCAACAATTTGAGAACAGTTGTGGCTGTGGCTAGAATTCCAAACTTTACGTATCTTCTTTTACGCCTTAGACAGCACCACCTGTTGGTGTACCAGAGAGACCGAAATCTTTTACACCGAAGATAAGACCTGTTGAATAAAATGGCTGATTTTTAGGGTACTACTGCAGCTTCACAGGACTTTAAAGACCTATGAAAATACATATCACAATATTTGCAAAACTAGGGGGTTTCTGGCCAATAGGAGCTAACAAGTACCGGAGACTACTGTCAAATACTACTTTTAGAATTTGGGAGTAGTATATTGAAGTAATTCAAAACAACTAATTAAATGCAAATAAATTAGGGATTAAGAGAGCAGATTCAGTAAGTAAAACGATTCCGTTTTGTAGACTGAGAATGCTGAAACGGAAAAGGTATTCCCTGAGCCACCAACGGTAAGATTTTAGCACATATTTATTCCTTGCTTGGCATAATGCATAGTAATTTTAAGCTATGAAGGTAAGTAACAGGAAGAAAATTAAGATTTAACATAGCAGAATCGGTAAATAAAACAATTCTGTTTTTAGAGTGCGAGTACTGAGAGGGATAAGGTATTGCCCAGTCCTCCGGCGGTAAGATTTTGGCATGAATTCATTTATTACATAGCATCATACATAGTAATTTCGAGCCCTAAAGAAATTTTGTTATTTCAATTTGAAAATATACTGCTTACAGATTTACTGTAGGCTGTCTTTTACTTTGAGCAAAGTGGTTTGTAAGCAAATAGAAACCGGGACAAGTGATACCAATCGGAAGACGTTTAAAACGCAATACCATTAACCTCAGAATAGCGGCATCACAGCTTCAAAAAGGAAAAACACCCAAACAATTAAGAACCAATGCCCACCAAATAGTAGCATGAACCTCATCACATCAAATTCGAACACCGCAGAAGAGTGAAAGAATAATTTTTTAGAAGAGATACAATCATTTAAACCCTAAAAAGTCGTAAGACAAGATGTCTAGATCAGGGAGCTATCAAATTCCCAAGTAACCAGTCTTCTTTTGCAGCAGATCGAATTGTCCAAACCACAAACCCCTTCGACAGATACAACAGCACGACTAGAGTTGACAATTCAAGAGTTGAGAAACCAGCTGGCTCAGTCAGATGCATCGAATCGAAATCTGCAGGCCTATCTCTCCTTCCTGAAACGATCCTACAACTGCATTTTTGAAGCGGACGATCTTGATAAAGGCGCTCACATGGCGACGACAACTACGGCTGTTGTTTCCGTGACACCAGAGGTCCGCGCTTCTGACGACACTACTGCGGTGGTTGCTGAATAACTTTCTTCTCCATAGGATGTTAGCACTTTCTAACCTAATTCTTTGTTATTTAATCAGTTTCTTTTCTACCGATAGGGTTGTTCTACTATAGACATGTAAGTAACATCAATAAATAGGTTGTTGAATAGAGGTTCTTGTTCCAAGGTACAGCGCCGGAAAGGTGGAACGCTACCGAGGGAATACTTGGGCGACTGTATAAAAAAATCATGGCGGTTGATTTGTAACATCGAAAGCTCCCAAGTTTGACTGCAGATACTTTAATTCGAAAGTAGCAACACGATGCATCGAAGTATGTAGGCGTACTACTGAAGAGGAGAATAAGTAGACCCGGGGGACTAGTAAACAAAAATCGCACTACAATGGAGGTTCTTAGGCTGAATTTTCCAACACTTACACACGTCCATTATAAGAGGACAAGAATGGCAAAGAAGCCCCACGTGCGTAGGGGTGAAACACTAAATGAGTAGATAGCTAAGTCTGTCAAACAAAATCTGCAGAAATAAAAAAGACAATCACACAACCATGCTACTCAAATGACAAACAAATGGATTCGTGCAAATAATAAAAAAAAGTGTTCGATGATCTTCGATGCGATATAAACGTCAAAACACAAGCATACTACTCATAAATGCAATAAGCAGGCGGGCGTAGCAAGCAAGATGATTTAACACGCAAACTAATTATCAAACGATGTTACCTTAAGTTCATGTAAGGGAGAACACACATCCATATCAATAAAGTGAAAAATAAGTGCACACACATGGACAAACTACTTATATGCAAAAATAAGTAGGCACGTACGCTAGCATTGTTAATGAGAATGCCGCTAGTACCCAGCCACCAATCGTAATCGAGTGGAGGACACGGAAGAGCCTTCTCCTCCTCCAAGCATTCAAAGATGTGCGTCAACAAAGCATCGCAGAATCGAAGCAGAGGTATTCGGAGTGAACGATTCTCTTCTCTGTCCGACTAAAATGTGGATAAAATCCAATTCAGCCAATGCGCGTAGCGTGGATTTCATCAAGTCTTGCAAATTTTTTCTGGGGGCACAAACCCGAAACCCAATCTCAATCATCCTCTTGATTTCTTCCATACTCGGTACAAGACAGTTGTAATGCAAAGGAATGAAGGCCGTCAATGTGGAAATAGCTTGAGAACGAAGGACTGTGGGTTGGGTTCCCTTTTCATTCTCCATTAGACGGCCACCACTGTCCACCAATTGTAGGCACAGCTAAAAGAAGGTGTTAATCATTCATGGGGGAATTTTGTGGGTAGATATGGTTTTATTGCTTTTCTAAGACTTACTAAAACAAGCCAACAGGGATTGGGCGACATGGAGGAAGTATCGCAAAGTGACAGCAGTCTCAAGGTTGGTGTTGGTGATGTCAGTAGTCGTTGCACCTCCGATGTTGGGGTTTTGGCTAAGATAGCATTCCAAACAGGAAGAATGGGAGCGATACAGCGAGTCCGATTGTGGAAGGAATTCAGATTTGTAACAACATTTAATAGTAGGCCAGGATGAAGACGATTATATGGTGTGACAGTTATAAGAACAGCTAAGACTTTTAATAAAGCCAGCTGATGACGAAAAGATTGTTCTGTGCGTAGTGCCCAAATGAGACTCCTGTGAAGGGTGCGTAGTTCATTGGCTACGCGAAGGGAGTAGGGAATAAAGGTGGCAGGTTGCCAGTTTGACGGCTCTTCCGCAACAGCAAAACGCAGGGTCAATTTGTCCAGTACGACACCCAGTATTACGATGAAAAGCTGGGAAGAAAAATACAACACTCATGAGCAATGTTTATTTCTAAACAAATGCATAATCTAATCGTCAACAATCTGGGTGATCCAATTCTACTGAAAAATAACAAACATTAAGGCACACGCACCTCTCTCAACCTGGCATCACGTTCCCGGCACAACGCTTCCAAAAGATCCGACTGAAACGATCGTATTCCAGTCGATGTCCAGGCCTCACTGCAAATGCGCTTTGATGTCAACAGACGTCGAAGACAGAAGGTCGCAAGAAGACGCGACTTTTTTAGCTCTCGTACCTACAATCCGAACGGATAATAAAGTAGATGAGACACATAGATGGATGGACAAAAGTTGTGCGTAAACTACTCACAGCACAAATCTCCATCCCACCTGCATCACTGATATCACCACCACTGGAGGAGGGACAAACACTGCTTGAAGAAGAAATAGGGGTGCTCCCTTCTTCCCGTCGGGGTTGTCGATTTGAAATACAAAAAGCTACAGGCCATATGAATTGCACAACTCGAACGAGTCGATCCAGCTTTGAGGGTGTTAGTTGTGTCGGATGAAAGAGTTTACGATGACAGAGGAGTTGTACCAGCGCGTGGAAGCATGAGAGCCCGGTTTTAGTATCTTCCTGGAAAAGAACAAGGAGTGAAAATTATCACCACTCACACAGAAGCAATGGATGTAATTGAATCACCTCGATTATCTACCTGAGTCACTTCCAGCAGAGATGTCAAAAGATCGAGACAGCGTTCACCGCGTTGGAAATCCAAAAAATCGGGATTAGAATAGCTAGCAACCGTCTTGGAAGGCTCTACTGTAGTTGCTGTTGTTCCATTAAAAGTTTTGTAATTTACGGGGTATAGGTAGAGAAGACTAGCTAGACCTGCAGAAAGGTTTTGCCGAAGTTCTGTGCTGGATTGTGCTACCTCTACTGTGAGGATTGAATCGAGAAGCGTTCCGAAAGCAGTCGGTTCAAAAAGAGTTACGTTGCCTGGAAGGAATACGGTTATACTTCTATTCAGAATAAAACTGATTTAGAAGGACCTTATCCGTAATACATTAGCCTCTGGTAAAGATAATTTTCAATAAGTTGCCCTTTTCTAAGAAAGATAGAAGCCAAATTTTTACAACTAAACGCACACTACTACTAAGAATATCTGCACTGTGGTTGTAATCATTAGCTAGGTAGTTGATATCATGACATGGAATGTAGTCTGATAAGGGTCTGGAGAAGGATGCAACAACAACTAACAGATTTCAGAGCCTTTTTAGTACTGGCATCTAGTCTTAAGTGTTAGAAACAGTTATCGATCAAACTCACACCGATTTTTGCAAACCCTATTCTTACTTTACAAGTCAAATTAAAGTGAAGAAATGGCAAAATCGACTAGACAAATGAAAAAAATATGGACACGACTTGACCGCAAAAATTTGGGGAAATCGATGCCCAAACAAAAAAATGGACAACAATTGAAACAAAGAATGGGCAAAGAAAACGTTAGCGACGAATTGAAATTGATTTTAATGTTCGATACATCGAATCCCATGATACCAGTATTCGCTCCAAAAAGCATGTTTCGTTACAAATACTGATGATTTGTAAAAAAGCATTATCAAGCACAACACTAGGAAAAAGTCCTGCTGAGTAAGATCAGTACTCAATTACTGCATAACTATTTAAAGCAGTTAATAAAAACTATCTAAAAGAAATCATGGCAAATAACCTATATTGGCTGTGCTTACCATCATTAGTAAGATCTAACCAAAGATGTACATAGGCAGGAACTTTACTGCTGCCGATCTTTTGTTCGGTAAAAGGAGAAAGGAAGGCTCGAGATAAGTGATTTAACAGCACGGAGTGCCATAGTTACAACGGCAAAACGCTGCTCAAACTACGGGATAAAGTGCCTGCAAACCATTATAGACTGGGGAGAGTAAGCAAGATTAACCGATCTCGATAAGTGATTGAGCATTTCGCTTACCTCTAACCAAGTGTTCCACGTCACGACAGAAACGAATCGAAGGGACTCCACCAAGGGAATGCAGGTGAGATAGGCGATAAATAAGACTGTTAAAAATTGCTTTCGATTTCTGGAGTTCATCATCTGAAAGCGGTTGTGAATGGGATGACCTAGCCAAGGAGGGAAAGCGGCCAGTATTCAGCAGGATTTCCAAAAAACGGAGATGTGGAGTAGACCCAGTGAAGAAAGAACACAGAGCCGGCCAGGTTTCCGCCTGCGTCAGTTCATCCATGTCTAGATAAAGAATGAGCACTTGCGAGGCCAATAATAAACCAAAAATCGTAAATGGGATATGTGTAGCTGGGAAAGCGGCTTCAAGTACCAAAAGGAGGGATGTGTAGGCATCTACTTTATAAAACAGACTTTTACTTTCTCGGGCATTTAAATGGAAGCACTGGAGTATTGGTTAGGTAAGAAGGAGAAATTCCGGCATTCGAACGTCATGAAGTCATAAATTGGAATAGTAGTAAAATATAGGTGTGGTTCCAAGGAGCTCTCGTAGATAAAATAACCACACGAATAAGTAAAGTGTACGTTATTCGAATATAAAGAACCACATATCTCAAATAAACCAATGGTCTGCGATTTAAAATCCATGGTTATGCTATTTTTAGTCATTCATCCCGGGTAACTTACGGCATAACACAAGGTGAAGAAAAGTGCGCTTCAATATATCTACTCAAAATCTCAAAACTGATAACAGGTATTGAGAAAAGAAACCTAAGAACCGGCGAGTGCTTTGCACATGGAAACGAGCAGAATCGCACTTACAGTATCAAGGCTATATTTTGCCCATACAAATTCCACCTACCTCCCATCCAACTTGACCTTGAAAATTTATTAAGAGATTTGTATGCTTTGATGGATTTTGTATGCCTAAATGCAAAACTATAGGCTTGTAAACAGGCTAAATATTTACCGAAACCTAAATTTTTTGACTTGTACCAGTTAAACTGCCGAAAAAGGTTGTTAATATTGTTCAGTAGTGCTCTTCTTGGGGGTTTCTTATGGGACAAAATTTGAAGTAATTGTTGGATGTTTCATGAGCTATGAAAAATGAAGTATTTGCATTTTTCGTACGTTAAGCTTGTCTTTGCCACGCATAATTGCAAATCTGTTAAATACCCTCACGAATTCTTCCGTTCCATCCTTTGGCATATTTGTAGGCTCAGTATTCGAACCAATTATTCAAGTTTTTCAATAGTTTTAGAATTGCGTCAACTTGGTTTCATTTGTGTTACATTTATTAAAAACCCTTATAACCACCGGGTTTAGCTTGTCTTTGATTGTTATGCTTGCCCTTTGGCACCTGGCATCGGGCCACAAGAGTAGCCCCCAAGCATTTCCTTAAGCACCTAATGTAGATTCCTCCCCACCACCACAGGTAAAGTCTAGAGACACAGGAACATAACCTCGACCCAATTTTAAAGTCCCATCTATCCTCTTTTGCTAGAGTAAAAGCAATTTTTTAGAAACAGTATTGTCTGCAAGAGTTTCTATGACCCGTTGATCAAGATATAAAAAAAAGAACATAACAGCAGATATACCATGCCGCTTACACAAATGAACTAAGTACACTTAAAAAAATTCCTTATGGGGGAGAATTTACGGGCAGATACTATCAAGAACCAAGTACAACACAAAGTCCCGAGACTTCCTTGAAGGTAAAGAAAGCATAATGCTCGGGCAGGACGTATACACTCGGTACACAGTAGAGGACGAAGCTACTGGCATGACCTAAAGCCCAGGCCACCTGGATTTATTTTGGGACTAAAACGTGATTCACAAAACAGCACCATCAAGGAATCATCTGAACAAATGAGGAACAGCCTGTCTAGGAATATGAAAATTTAGTCGATGACATTTAAACACGTTGGTTGCATGTTAAGCTGGCGATTATTATAAGAAAGCTACTTGGCTGCGCCATTTTGTACCTTTGTCAGATGGACCAGCCTCCGGACCGTGCCAGTAGCCCTTAAGCCCTACCGAATGTCAAATGTAGATAATTCGCCCTGGTATTATGTCTTCTCTAGTCTTCAGAGAAATCTTGGAGGAGGGCATGGCAAAAAGTGTTAAGAAATTGAATTGTAAATTTGGTCTGTTGTTTTCAATGTGCAAATGCAAGGGTTAATAAGATCCATTAATGCTAATGTAATGTCTAGCTCACTGGGTGTGGTGCATTCTAAATTAGGAAAGTAAAGAAATTTTGTTTGCAAATAGAATTTCTAACCGGAAAATTTGTTGCCTAACAAGAACAATTTTCTTGCACAAATAATGACACTTTGAATAAGAATGGGTGAATGAACCTGAATGTCAAAACACCCTGCAACTGACGTCAAAGTAGTAGTGCACGATATTTCATTACAAAGTGTGGTCCACCAGAGTTTTTAACTTTAGGTTTTTGTTAAGGGCCTGCTAAAGTGCCCCGTTGTTACACCTTATCCAGGTGTGCTGCCTCCGGGTTATGCCAGTAGCCCCTCAAACTCTACTATACGGCGAATATTGCACTATATATTAGGCCTTTGTTCAAACTCAAAAGAGCATCAAAGAGCTGCATTGTTAACACAAGAAAGCACACCTGTTTTCAAGTGACATCTGTCCCTACTTCTACAGCCAAATGATTAAAATGAGGGGGATAAAAAGAGTACAGATGGGGGAATCAATGACGACCCCTAACAATAAGGTCTGCAAGAAGTATACTAACACTGAGAGTAGCACCAGCTGCGGCGGTAAATCATCCAAAAAGTTTTGCAGCTAAAGGCAAGTCAAGCCTGTATGATAATACTAAATTTGTTAAAACGCAATGCCTCCTCATCTTCTCAACTGGCTGGAGAATAAATAAGTAAACATTACTGGGCATCACTGAATTGAGGACAAAGTGGGGTGGAAGAAGAAAGACAAAACATCATCCCTAAGGAACTGCATTAGATCCTATCACTTGTTACAAGGCTCCGCTATTGGGCAAGTGCTCCTACAACTAGCTATGAACATGCACGATATCCTGTATATTTCCCAATCCCCGAATCCATTCCCCACACAGGACTAGACGCTAGATCCAGTAGAGCCACTCGGTAAGATAAGTGGCCTTGCAGTAAAGCAACTCCGTGAATGCATGGGAATTCAATAAATGCAATGGCTGTCTCTTGGGTGCTTTTCTCACAGTACCGGCTATAGTGTTATGACCAATTAGCTAGATTGATCAAGGGGAGCACGAAGAATGATGTTAAAAGGGGACAAAAGATGTGTTATACGTTAAGTGTTTGTTTAACTTTGGGTATTTGCCATTGTGCCTTCGTCGGTTTTGGCAAGACTCCGGGCCGTGCGAGGAGCCCCACTCCATTCAAAATGTAGAATATATAAATTCTCGCAAATTTTTTTATTTTATAGTATTTGTGCTACAATAATCAACAAAAATTATTCTTTTTAATACAAGTTATTTCGCAATTATCAGTTTCAATGATGTATGATTGATCTCGCAAACGCTGCACATAAAAGTAAAATTAATAGGAAACTTTGCTTTTAATAGATTAGTCTTGCAAAATTTAAAAAATGTAAATATATTCATAAAGATAAGGTTTGTTTAATTGAATCTGTTAAATTCAATACGAATAGCCTTATCCGCGGTTATTTAAGTCTATTGCATTGTGGATTTTTCGCCGGTGTCAATCGTATAGTCAATTGTGGTTTTTGTTTCTCTGTGTTGTTTTGTGGATTCTCGTCCCTAATCAATGTCAGAAAATCCTAATCCCCCCACTGAGACCAAGCGACTTTCTCCTACTACTGTCCCAGGTATATGCTCGTCACGTTGTATTTTAGTTTCTTTTTTATGCTTCTCTTAGTTTCCTATCAATTTCCTGTACTTTATTTGCAATTTTTGTGTTGCCTTATTCATCCAATACTGCACACTTGGTGATAACATTTAGATGTGGCAATTGCCGACTCCCTTGAGAAAAGTGGTGAGGACAATGGTGAACAGGATCAAAAACACAAACATGGTAAACGCTCAAAGAAAGAACATGATTCTACTGGCCAATCGCGTAAGTTTCAGTTTTTTAGGTGTCCTTGGTTTGTGTACCATTTATAAATGCCTTTTTTTGCTCATACCAGATAGGTTAAAACCCACCAAGAAAAAGAAGAATAAAATGGGTGAAATAAGTAAGACGCGAATCCTCGCTGTGCTGATTTCTCCTCATTTCTAATAATCTTACTAATTGAACTCACGAAATCCTCCTACCATCCATTCACTAACTTATCTTAATCCAACTCATTCTTCTCAGTGCTTCTCCTGTCTTTTTCATTGAGAATCAGAAGTACCTGATCAGCAGCACGTGATGTTTTCGCTGGGTGAACAGCATGCTGATGACGAACCGCGGCAATCACCAGCCTTTGTAGAACTAGATGAGCTCTACACTGATCCGACTTCGGGAAATCCACCAGAATGGAGAGAAGTGGCCAGGTATGTTTTTTTGGAACTCAACGTGTTTCATTTCTTATGTCATTGATTTGCATGTGCCATATTTGCTTTGCTAATGGACCATTATCATTGAATCGTTCATTTTATTTCAAACCTCTTTTAAGGCGTCGCACCATTTAACGCAAGACTTGACTTTTCGTGGCCATTCTTTTACTTTTTCTGCTTAGATGGTTCCACATCTCCAGCAGTTGTTTTTTTCCGATTTTATTTGTTGACGTAAGGAACGCCTTCGTGTAGACATCCTTACAAACTCTTTAAATATGGTTTTTGTGGATAGTTGTTTATTTGTCGTAATACTGATGTGGTTATCGCTAAAACGTCGATTTCATGAGGGCACTTTTGGCTTTATCCTTCTCACGAATGGTTGGTCTTTGTCACGCCAACTGATACGAATCTGGATACTATTCCCTGTATAATGATCCGTGCTCGTTGGGTTTTTTTTACTTCTCTAATTAGAAATTGTTTTCTCTACAAACTTTTATCAGCACCCCTCATTAACGGCCTGCTTGGTTAGTATATCATTTAATTAGAGGTGCTGTTCATCTCGAAAGCATGGTCTAATGAATGTATCCTCAATTTCGTCCATCGAGGACTGCATGGTCTGGTTACCGCTTCTCACCCGTCAACGGGATTCGTGATAACAAATTTTCCTACTCAAGATTAGTTTTTCAAATTCAGTTCCACTTCCTGCTGGACTAGTCCCAAGCCTATTTAATCACTGAAATATCACTTGTCATTTTTTTAAACTGGGTATTGTGCAACTGTTTCATTGATGGACTTTTGAATGTCTTTTCAGTCTCCTTTGTATTCTCAACTTGAACATCTTCCACCTAGCTTTGCTCTTTTTTGGAAGAATACTCTTCATTTTTAACAAAGTAAACTAACTTTAACATCTTTTCCATAGACCAAAATTCCCAGTAACTTATCAACTTTTCTTTACCCTACAAAACGTAATGTTGTTTCCATTGACAAACTCACGTTTTCAGGCGAACCATGTTTCGAATATTTTCGTGACTGGCCAGCACTTTCACTAGTTTTTACATATATCTGCCGCCTTTATGCCTCACCTGGGCGGCATATTTGGGCAGACTTGAAAAGTAAAGAGAAAAAGGGTAAGAAAGTCAAAAGCGATTGGTGTTCTAGTGGAACGGTACATCAGTGGGGGTCGATTTTCCCCTCGGACCCTGGTAGCGAATGTGCTAGCGATGTGATTCATAACCCAATGAAAAAGATGATTTTCTGAAAAGAAATTCACATTTGTCGTTGTCAGTTCGTCTTTACTAGTCTACTATTTTTCCGCTCACAGAAACCGCCTTTTTTCTTGTTTTTTGTATCGTGACTTAAAAATAAGCGTTCTCTCTTCAAGCTCGGAGCTTTGATTTGTTTTCACCGATTTTCGACGCGAATTTCTTTTAACTGTTTGAAGATAAAAAATTTGGCAAATTGCTTTGCTAAAAACGTACTTAGTTGCACCGGTGCTGCAGTAAGATTCAGCACAATTACGTTTTTCATCAAGGATCTATTATTTCCTCTTTCATAAATGCTTCGAGGATTCGTTCAAGGTTATAAAATTACCCCCACACCTTATTGGGTGTTTTTGTGGCTGCCTACTGTTCGGTGTCAATGTTTCACTGTTAAATAACCCAAACCTCTTTAGACTGTCTAGCTTTTAGCTTTTCAATTTTCTAAATTCATCATGACCTTTTATTGGCCATCAAATCGTGATTTGACGTCGGTACTTTTTTTGCTACACTCCCATCCATCCTTATCGCCTACTTTTTAGCGATGCAAAATACTTTAGCCGAATTTCATCCTGCAAGCCATAAAAACGTAAGATACTTTTCTTCCCAGATTAGAAGTCTATTATGGGTTTAGCTTTGATAACCCTGGCTATAACTCCTTTACTCAGTAGTCCTCTGGCCAGTGTCTTTTTCGTGCCCTATCGTTGGCTCGCTCCTCCCCCCTCTCACCCCCCTCATGGCATAATAAGCTTGCACTTTCTCCTCCCCTCCTCAAAGGCACCACTTTTTTTACGCACACACCGTATTGCGTGCTCATTTCAACGTTACTTCCTGTCTCTTCTCGTAAACAGAAAACTTTCTACGTTAGTCATGTCTCGCGTTTACTATTTCTACTGTTGTACACTTTTGTATACGCATTCAAGTGTTCACTTATCACATCCACCCTGGTTCTAGTGTTTTTTTCCATTCACCGATGACGTCACTATAATTTGAACATGGCACAGGAAATATAGTTCTGTCTCGTTTCAAGCCCCGTTTGTCTAAGCTCTCTGCTATCACTTCCTTGTGGGCCGTCGTAGTGGTATTACAGCGACACCGAAGTCTGCCATAAGGCAAGAACGCAAACTCTGAGGATGGTTTTCATTTCATCGGGAATATCGCTGCATTTAACAATGTTTGTAACTAGCGTCAGTTTCGATGCTATTCACTGCTGGCCTCCTAGTTCTGAACGAAGTCCTTAATTAGTCTGGGGAGTGTTGTGAAGCGTGGCCATTCCGAATACTCACAGCTTTTCGCGGAGGGTTCATTGACCTTACTTTTAAATACTTTTCTGTCATCAGACCTCTAGATTGTACTCGCTGTTTACTTTTTTGTGGAAATAATATAAACAGTCTCTCGTTTGGCTAAAATTGTTCTTCTCCGGTGCAGATCTCACTCCCTTGGTGGCCAAAATGCAGGTCACTTGGGCTGCCAAGAGTGAACTTGGTTCTGTTAACGACCCGTACAGACTCAGTCCTTCATGGAAGTTGCCTTTTGAGGGAATCTTGTTTTTTGCAAAAGTTGAAATGTCAGGCATTCCTATTGCATTATCACTGGTGAAGGCGCTTTAGAGCCTAGAAGTCTGACAGTAGCTTTCTCATCAACGTATTCGGAGGGTCTGAGAGAATGGTAGTGGAGGTGAGAGTCGGATTACGGAAGATGGGAACTAACAGTGGGACAGGAGTGAAAGTTGTATGGTTGGTTTTTCTCCCCATCACAGTGCGAAAGTTTCTTTATCTCTGTTTGGGCTAAAGGATATTTTACAATGCGAACTATTTCATGAGGTGTTTAGTCAGATTTCATTTCTCATTCATTTTTTTTCATTTTTCTTTGTTATATCGTCTAGCAAAGTTATTCTTCTAGACGTGTAGCTTAAGAAGATACAAGCTCTCGTCACTTTCATTCCAGCCTTGGCTCATTACTAACCATGATGAGGAAAGTCGGCTTGGTTTCAGTGGTCCGTCTGTCGAGCCTTCATAGATTCAGTCGTTCGCAGTAGATGTTTTCCCTCCCAATTTGATGGAAGTCTTTCTTGAAGTGTCAGCAAAAGTAGTTGCTATTTTTCACAAGGGGTCATAAATTTCGTGCCTATTTCACCGCACTACCACTCAAGTTGTCTTTGAAGTCAGGTCATATGAATATAAAAGAAGCTGTTAGAAAGCAGAAAGGTAAACTGAGAGAAATGTGTGCAAATGGAAGGCGTGGGTCCTACACTAACTCCAAAATAAGCCTAACGACGGACTTAAGAGCGCTTTTTCGGGTAGTTATCATTCACCATTAAATCCCTAGCGTTTCTTTGGGGTTGTGGTGATGTTTGTAACCCTCTCAAAGACCCTGTAAATGCTATCTGAAGGTCAAAATTTTCAAATCAGGCGAGCTAGCTGTTCAAATAATCGTGGAGGCTTTAAATCACCCCTCTGGGATTATGCCTGGGATAGGTGAAGCTGCATATTTTCACTGAAACTCATACGTAAGGTATTTCTTGATCCGGGACCCTAACAACTGCCTCCAATGTTAGAATGTGTTGTTTTTCTTTAAAGAATATTCTTAAAACTCCGTTTCGGTGCACATCTGATTAGTGTTAGTTGCATACACTTCTGTGATGTACTGGCTATCGCAGTAATCCAAATAATCGTCTGTGGCGACTTAGAATTCGCTCACAAAAGGAGTGAAGATTGGAAGAGTCCTGATTTGTGTATCGTAAACGTTCACGTCTAGTCGGCACTTCCAGTATTGCGTACTTCTAAGGAACGTTAGTATAACAGAATCACATACAGTGGCAATTGGCAGCTGTACCCAATGAATTTGACTGGCAACCAATGCACTATCCGTAGATCTGTCTAGTCTCTCGGTAGTGTGTGGACGTACGACTTTGTAGCGGACAGCCCAGATAAGTCCTTGAATGGGTAGAAGGCCTCAAGCAGAGTGACGAGACGATCAGGTAGAATGAATGTACTGATGTCGATCCCAACCGTGATAATTCTGTTCTCAGGCTCTGCAGCAGTTAATTGGTCTTGGAGGGCCTGAGTGATGCATGATCTGTGGTATAGTTGCGCAATGGAGACGATAAATGCAGCACAGTCATTCAGAAATACTCACAGCTTTGAACAGATGACGTAAATTTAGGCTGAGTGAAGGGAGTCAGCTCAGGAGGGCTCAGTTACACTGACAAACCCTTCTACGTTGAAGCTCTCTTCGTTACTCAAACATCGACTTCTTTACAGAGTAACACCGTTTCTACTCCATTCAATTCTTTCATTTATCAATCAAAACGTCTCCCTTTGAGCTGAATTTCCTTCATTGAGGTTTGGACTTAGATGGGATATCTTAAATTGAGTTGTCTATGCCATAAAGTGCATAACATCACTGGGCTGTTTCTTTTCCCACGGTTCGTGTCATCCCCTTCCCAGTGTATGCTACCTCACAGAATTTATTCCTTTCCACGTTCCAAACTGAAATATTTGTAAAAGCAGCACTGCTTTTGTGTTGCTTTATGGCAAAAGGAGGGCTCGCTTTTTTTAGCGAACTTTAACCTTCCCCCCCCCTCCCTCCCTCTACAGTAAGAAAAAAGGAAACTCACGCAAAATAGGAGGTGCGTACCTTTTGGTCCTGTTTCTCTTTTGACTTTACAAAATTACTTAAAGTGTGATGTGTTTGGGGTACGTAAAAAGGGTGGTACCATGGCTAATTTTCTCAATTAGTTTCCCTAAAATTGTCCAAATGATTTCTAAAAATATTCCTTTTACAGTGTCTCGAGAAGCATAGCCTGCCGTAGAATTAGTAGGATGTGAGCATGGCTGGATACCTATGTCATCAAAACTGTGTGATGCCATCCGCGGAGACTCAGGAGGCCACACAGCTAAGTGATACGTGAAACCAGTATTATTTTCCTCCTTCTCCAACAGTGAAGACATTAGCTGACTAAAGTTTGTGGCACAAGAATCATTGCTCCTATAGACTATTATCGTCGAGAATCAGCCTCCTTTTGATCCGTTTCCAGGCTAGAATGTTCCATCCCCTCTTCAATGCCGATAAACTAGACTATAAATTCTCAAAATACAATAAAAAAAGATTCTGTAAGAAAGAGTGAAATTGAGTGACTCTTCATCAGTCAAGGAATGACGGCAGCTCACTATCACTTGTAGAACTGGCCTTATTCACCGGTCCACATTACCCTGTCAATTTGAAAGTGGAGATTTGTATAAATCCTTCCAACGACAATTTCTGCTTTCATTCTCTCTTTGGGAGCAAACTTTACAAAAGTGTGGGTTTTAAACCTGAACTTACTATCTAATTTTTTGTGCAGATTGTAAAAGGGTGAAGTGAAGGTATTTTCCTGTCTGCAATGCTACGTGTAGACGGTTTGCGATTTGCCCGACCTATATGATTAAAAGGCGCACCGAAGGCACGTAGTCACGTAGGCGGAATCGTTTTTATCCACAGTTTTGCCCTACCTTCCATGAGTTAGGATAAAATCATCGTGGAAGTCGTCCCTCACATCAAATATTCGATGCCATCTCCACTGCGGACGCAGGAAGCTTATGAAAATCCCATCAAGGTAATCACCGCCGTATGGGAACAAGTCAAACATCTATTTTTAGTCCCACACACTTGTGTTATGTGTGTTTTGATAGTAAATATGTTTCGGTTGAAGGTGGCGCAGTAACTAAGGCAATGCTGCCTTTACCCAGCAGCGTCCACACCAGCACCTCCCTTAGCCGTTAAAGTTGCCACGATAGTTGGTGTGGTTCAGAAAACACGAGATTTGACCTGATGCCTCTCTGTCTGCGAAGGCCTAGACACCCACCTGATGTCCACGTGCACACGCACGCAAAAAACAAAAACTTTGGCAAAGGTGAATATGCGGTTGTCATGACTTCAATTGGGTCACCACAGGCAACTTTGACACTCTCATGCAACTGTCCAGCCACCTCTTCAACTGGTTCGTCTTTGACCTTCGCCAATTAGTTAATCCAGCATTCATCACTCAGTTTCAGTCATTTCGTGTGGCCGAGGTTATAGGCGGTTGGGCGACCGAGGCACTCTACATGCATTCTGCACTCACCACATCACAGCCATCAACTCAGAACTCCTACAACCTACCAATAGACGGCAACGACGACGACCACGGTGTAATTACCCCACCCACACAATGAGCACGGGGATGAGACCGTGCACCTGGCACAAGCGCACATTCACATATTCTGAGCACAAACTACAGCACACGATAAAGTGGCGCTCTTTCATCTTTGATGCATTCCACTCACAATTATCGCGACTGCTTTCCACTCTTGGGGAGTTGACCATACCCATTCGTATTGCAGCACAATAGAAGTTGACTTGTCAGGGAGACGACAGATAGTGGTCAGATGACATCCAGCTGCCATCACCTGTCCTCCACCACCACCTCCTCACTTCGCTTCCTCCAACAGTTGCACAGCTAAGTAAGGCGTGTTGTAGTCATGGTCCTAAGTAACACACTTCCACCTGCCGTCGATTGTTCGCTTCCACACTACGATTTCGTAGTGCACCCTAACGAAGCAACTGAACAACTGCTCGCACTCAAAAGTTCCACCATCACCACTGACATTTTAAGTAGTGGCTTTCCACTTGATGTGGTAGTATGTTTCATCTCTAGTGTTGGTTACTCATGGGGCCAGTCGGTTACTGGCTTGTCTCGTGGCCATTAGTGTCCCCTTCTGATATAATTCACCAGTGAATGCGAAGCCAAACACCGTCACAGGTGACCCATTTTGGCACCTTTCCATTTGAAGCTGTCAGCATGGCATGGCGTCACATTGAATCGGATTGCAAATAAGAGGTGAATGCGGAGGTCCGGCTAAAATATGCGCACGTCAATGCAACAGCACGACCCCAAAAGCTAAAGGTCAACCTGCGTCCACACACTAACGAAACGAAGTGAAGTGGCATGACAGCTTGACATGAAATGCCATGAATGCATTGAGGAGTGAATGAATGAGTGAATGAACGTGACTGGAGGAAACGCAACTCAGCCCATCCACACTTGAAATCACGGTCAGTGCGGAGGCTAAATGCAATGCAAATGTACGCTGGTTGGTTTAGTGTCTGTGACATCATTTCCTCCCCCCGCCCCACAGTCTCACTCTCCACACTCTGTTCCCCGCCCTGCACCATCTCTGCCTCACCCTGCTGTACTGTCTCCATCTCCGCATCCCTCTCCCCCTCCCGCGTTGTCTACGCCATCCCCCCCCGTCCCAGTCCCACACGTTTCCTCTAGTCCGCCTGTGTGTGTGACCCTGAAAGCAGCCAATCAGCCGGCCGATGGAAGAAATGCCGACGTGGTCACCAAAACTACTAGTGAATACGCACATTCACAC